CAGTCTCTGCCCACGCTCACTTGCCTGGACGGTCCCTAAGCAGATGGAGGGGAGGACGGGGCTGCCGAGAGGGCCCCCTAGCAGCAGTCAGACCTAATAAGATGCAGTGTCCTCCGGGGGCGCTCCCAGAACTCAGCACACAGTGAGCCCTGGTCACCAAGAGGGAAAGTGGGCCCCCACCGCGCGCTCCGGTTCCCACCGCACACCGCAGTCCGAGAGCCTGCGAGTGAGCCCCCTGTGCCTGCACTCACCTTCGGCGTTGAGCGTGATGAGGGTGACGTTGCTGCCAATGTTCTGGCTGCCCGACTGCCCACAGGTGGACACGGAGTCACTGGCCTCGGACCCGCTCTCCCCGTCCTCGTTGTGGCTGTCCTCCTGCCCAGGCACCTTCACCACGATGGTGTTCTGCCGACGCCCGGGCACCGCACTGCCGGGGACAGAGGAGCCCAGGTGAGCGTGGCCAGGCCCCCGCAGTGGACTGGGCCCTCCTCGAGCACACAAACACACACTCACTCACCACGCTGGCCACCCAGCAGGCCTCTGGCCCCACGTGCCCCACCCTGAGTTATGATCCGAGCAGCAGCATCTCCTTTCCCACAGAGCAGAACACAGCCTGCGGGACCTCTGGCCTGGGATGGCGCGTCCCAGAGGAAGGACTAGACCCAGAGAACCAATGCATGCCCCCGGTGGCCTCGTGACCAGGAGCCCCGAGGAGTCTAGGTCAGCCCACCGCCCACCACAGTAGCCCAGGAACAGCAATCTGCACTGCCCGCAGGCAGGCTCTGCTGCCCCCAAGGGGGCACCCCGGCCTGTTTCCTGGGCCTTCGACCTGCCATCTGCTGGTCTGCTGATCACAGAGGACCAGAAGGCAGCGGCACTGCCCTGCCTGCCAGTCCACACGGACACGGCTCCACTCCGAGGGCTGCCTCACCTGACCCCAACAAGCATGCCACCTGCTCCCTCCTCCACCGCTGCCCAGACCATCAGGACGGCCACGTCCTGTCCCCCTGACCAGCACAGCCAGCCCCCAACGCCTGGGCAAGTGAGCAAGGCGGTGAAGCAAGCAGGCAGAGCAGGAGGGCAGAGGGCAAGTGGCCGAGCGGGGAGTGGGGGGTGGGGGGTGGACAGGCCACTGAGCCAGGCTGGGGATGGGGCAGAGCCTCTGCTCATGTCCACGTCCTCCCACGGGAGCCCTGGGCCGGCCTACTGACGTGCTGATGCTGCTCTCCAGGGGGTCCGGTGCCCTGCTGCCCAGGGGGTCGTCCATCTTGGCGACGAGCGCGCTCTGCCGGTCGTTGTTGAGGATCACGGTGGTCTGGGGGACGACGCTGCCGACAGGAATCAGAGAAGACCTTCACAGGGTGTCCCCAGGGCGCGGGCGGGCAACCGGTCAGCAAGCACCCCTCCCCAACGGGCACATGACAGGCCGTGCCACAGGGCAGCCCCTCCCCCATCGTGTGTGGCACGCTGACACGCTGTGTGGCGACTGCAGAGGGGTCCCAGACAAGCCCTGCCCTGCCGCTCAGACCCCTTGGACGGCTGCCTGTGGCCATCCCCTGGGATGAAGGCTGTGCTGGGGACCCGCGGGCTCTGCCCCAGCGGGCACCCCAGTGGCTGGTGCCCTGACCAGGCAGCCTCCCATGGGGACGGGGTGCGTGAGCACACAGGGCTGGCCCCACACGTCAAGCACACGGGGCGTCACACCTACAGGAAAAGCAGGTTTCCTCTGAAAACCAGACTCCGGGAAACGGCAAGCTCAAGCTATTAAAGCTGCACCTCTGTTCCGGGACGAGGGGCCTGGGACGGGAGCTGTTTCCCACGCCGTCTGCCTGGCCCCACAGACCCCGCGTGGCACAGACCCTGTCCCACCTCAGGTGCCCACCCCAACACCGCCGTCCTCACGGACCACGTGAACACCACCCGGCTCGCACAGAATGCGCCTGCTGCCACCACACCGCCGTCTTGCCCAAACTCAAGTCGCTCCCTGTTGTAAGACACCAGGGCAGCGAGGTCAGTGATTCAAACCCAGCAGCCGCCGTTCAGGAGACAGAGGACAGACTGCCCCCCAGGGTCTGCTCTCACACCCTGCAGGGCGGCTGGGAGCACGAGCTGGTCCCCGGGGAGGGTGAGTTTTCCGTCGGGTCAGAGCCTGTTCCGAGATGGGAAGGGGCTGAACTGGAGAACCTGTTAGGCCTTGGTGCTGTCCTTCCAAAAGGAGGGCAAGTGGGCATCCCATCACAGGCCAGAGACAGCAGGGCTGTCAGTGGGCTGAACGTTTATACTCGGGGCAGGGCAGAAGCAGCGGGGCCGGCCTGTAATTAAACCAGAGAAGACCTGGCTCGGGCACCCCTGTGTCCACAGAAGTAGAGGACACAAGGTCCAGCGCTAGGTGGCTGCAGGTCCTGCTTGCGGGTGGGCAGTGAGTATGGAATTCGGGGGACTGTGGGCAGGGACACGAGGCTCCCTCACGGCTTAGGCTTCAGAAGGCGCTCCCAGGAGGCCCTCATGGGTCTGTGCGGGACCCTCTCCATCTCTGGGCATGGTGGTGGCAGCTGAGTGGGCAGCAGAGAACACACCCCAGCTGCTGGGCTCACGTGTCAGGCTGTGGCGTACACCTCGGCGCGGGCAGGGTCTCCTCCCAAGCACGGGACCACACAGGAGTCACTGCCTCCTGTCTTGTCTCGCAGCACACACATACACCAGACACTCCACGCTGCATGGCTGCCAGGGACTACGCCTTCCCGTGCTGGCCTCACCCTGGAATCGGCCCCCTGACTGCACAAAGGGGCCAGGAGAGGCTCACAGACCATGAGAGGCAGCGCTGGGAGAGCCCAACTCTCCTCGGGGCAGGGGCGGGGAAGGGGCCTGGTGCCCAAGCTGCCCCTCGCAGAGCTGACGTCTTGGCCGAGCACCAGGTCAGCACTCAGGAAACTTCCCCGACCTTAAGGAAGCACCTGAGAGAGCAAATGGCTGGAGCCGAGTGGTCAGCTGTCCTCACTCAGGTCTGACTGAGATCTACGACATCAGTACAGCACCTTAACCCGACCTGGGGGCAGCCTGATGGGCGTGTGAGTGGCAAACCCGCCTGCGAGGGACCCCGGGTGTGGAGACAGCAGCAGGAGAGAGGCTAAGGGAGGGTGGGGGGGTCAGCGGCCTCGGGCTGACTGGCCCAGAGCGCCAGCCCATGCCTGGGGCTGCCCAGGACCCCCACGTAAGCAGCACACAGAGCCCCGACCAGCAGTCTGCACAGAGCACAGCCGAGCAGCCTGACAGGGGCAGGGCTCGGGGTCAGTGGGGGCCGTGGGCACCCTCACCATCGCACTTTGTTGCAGGTCTGCGTGGCCCCGAGCGGGGAGCCGGCCACCATGGGCACCTGGATGGGGCTGTGCTGCTTGTTGGTGACCAGGTCCAGCTTCTCCTCCAGCGACCGGCACGTGGCCTCCAGTGCTTGCAGCTTGGCTTCGATGCCGTCCAGCCGCAAGCAGATTGTCTGGTTGATGGAGTACAGGAAGGACTGGAGGACAGGGAGGGGAGAGACTTCAGGACGGAGGCCATGGTGACCGCTTGTTTGCAGCCTGGGCCCTCACGTCAGCTGGGCTCCTGCTGCCTGCACCACCCTCACTGAGTCCTGGCTACATGCATGTCTGTCTCCTGTAAGGAAGGCCGTCTTCACAGGCAGGACCAGAGCCAGCTCTCTAGAACAGCAGACCCAGTCTCGCAGGCTGGGAGCACTCTGGGGGCTGACAGCCTCACCTTTCTCCCTCAGAGCAGCTGGTGGGCTTGAACCAGTGACCAACACTTAGCTGGCAGTGCCAGCAGGGCTCTGGTACAACTGCACAAAAACACAAAGCCCAGCTGCCTGCCATCGAGTCCCGCCTGAAGCACAGAGACCCTGCAGGACAGGGAGAACTGGCAGGCTGTCACTCTCTACAGGAGTAGACAGCCCCATCTTCTCCTCTGGAGCAGATGCTGGTACTGAACTGCTAAACTGGCGGGTTGCAGGTAAGTACAGTCACTGGTGAATTTACACACAACTCAAACATTTCCAACCGTGACAGCAGGTGGCGCCTGGTAGCAGACCGCCCAGAGGCCCTGCCTGGGCTGGGGCTGGCCTCTGCCCCTTGGTGCCTCCTCAGCCCTGGGCCGTGAGGGCAGGAGCAAGCCTGCCACACAGTGGTCCCTTTGAGCAGTGCACGTGCGGGCCAGTGCAAGCCCAGGCTCCAAACAAGCACGAGGGGTTGGGGTGGGGGTGGGTACACCCATCCTGGAAGGAACCCCTGGCCCAGCCTAGCGGGCAGATGGCGCCGTCAAGGCCTGGGGGAGGATAAATGAAGGGGTGTGTGTTGCTTCCTGGCTCAGGGGTGGCAGTGAGGGCCCCCGTTTCGCTGACCTCTCAAAATACCAAGGGCAGAGAGGAGGCAGCAGAGGGGGCAGTGCTCCGAGCCCCTCCTGGCACTGCCACCCCGCCCCCGGCGGTCATCACATGCAGTCCCCCTGCCAGTAATCTCGAGAGGACATCACTGCGGTGCACTCCCTGGAGACCCCCTGCCGCCATCAAGCAATGCCTCACCCCTGGCTCCTGAGCAGAGCACCAGCACAAGGAAGTCCATGTGCTTCAGCTCTGGGTTAGAACAGGCTCTGCACAAAGTCTAAGGGGTGGCTACCATCCCAAACGAAGACAGCAGCGCCCCAAGCAGGGCAGAGACTCACACACAGCAGCGTGCTGTCTATGGGAGCCAAGTTTTACCACATAAGGTCAGCCAGGTCAGCAGTTCAAAACCAGCAGCTGCCCCACAGGAGACAGAGGAGGCCTCAGAAACTCCCAGGGGCAGTTCTACCCTGTCAGCTCAGAGGAGGCGTGTCTGCATGGCTCACGAGGGGGGGTGGGGGCTGGGCATTGCCAGGCCTGCAGCCCAAGGCCCCACCAGTGGGCTGGAACAGGGCCGCGGCCCTCCTGCTTCTCATTGGGCCTGTTCTGTGCCGTGTGAATCGCTGACCAGAATACGGTGACTCTGGTGAGGGAACGACAAGTCATCTCATTTGGAAACTCTACGCTGAGCCCTAAGCATCAGGACCGACTCCCCAGCAGCTCAGGGCCTTCGGTCCGAGGTCACGGGTGTGCGGCAGTGACTGGCCTCAGACTGCCCACTGGTGTCGGGCTGACACTGGCTCCCCCGGGGTTCTCCATGGACATCCTGCAGCGTGCTGTCCCCGGCCCAGCTGTGCACCTCGAGGGCGTGCGGTGACATGGAAAGGTGGCTTTTGCTCTCCTCGGCACATGTGACCAGACTGGCCCCACTCAAGATTTCCAGGGACCCTGCCGAGTGAGCTCCCATCTCAGGCCATGAAATGCAAGATAGAGAGCCTTTTCCTAGCGGCGATCACAGCCCAGCCAAGGCCTCAACTCCTCCACCCCAGCAGGCGGCCCTGCTGAGCTCAAGGGTGCACAGAGGCCCAGGGAGCAATGTCTCTCTGTGGAGGGGGACCTGGACGACCATGTCCTGCCCCCACGCACCCTAAGGAAGGTGGAGGGGGACCGAGGCACCATGTCCCACCCCGAGCGGCCCGTACCTTTATAGAGTGTGACCCGGGACACTGTGTCCCGCCCCCATGTGCCCTGTACCTTTATGGAGGGGGACCCGGGGCACCATGTCCCACCCGGTCCCAGGCCCGTACCTTTATAGAGTGTGACCGGGGCACCATGTCCCGTCCCCGCGTGCCCTGTACCTTTATGAGGGGGGACCGGGACACCATGTCCCGCCCCTCGTGCCCCATACCTTTATGGAGGGATCCTGGCAGTTTATCTCCAGGCGTGGGCGTTTCAGAGAGGGCTCCTCCTCGTCGGTCACAACATGATTCTCCAAGACAACTGCGGGAGACCAGGGCCAGGGTCGGCCAAGGGCTTCCGCGAGCACCCAGCGGGCCCTGCGGGCGCTGTCTCTGGGAGTGCGGCCTAGAAGGGGAGGCCCTGCCCCTGCTGCCTGTGCCGCCTCTTTTCACTTGGACTAAAGACCACGGCTGGAGCCCCACGGGGGTGTTGGGGACAAGGGGAAGGGCATGTCACCCACTATCCCCAAGCTCTGTACCTGGGTGATCGGGACTCAAGTCTCCAACGGCAATCTGAACCACGTCCGCCAGGTCCTGTTCCGACATCATCCAGAACGGAGGGCCCGTCCGGTCCGCGGGCGGGAGGCCAACGGGCAGTGACAGGCTCAGACCCTACAGGACGGAAACTGAGAAGGGCGGGGTGGAGTGGGCAGAGGTGGAGGTGACAGGCTCCTCGCCCAGACCACCCAAGCGGGCACGTGGTCTCGGAGAGTGCTGCACACTAGCCCTGCTTGTTCTGCTTTTACTTTTCAATTATTTATCGGAACGAGGTGGAGGGTGAGAGAGCGGGCCGTGGTTCACAGCACTCGGATCCAGCTCGTCCTCCTCCGTCTCCAGAGGGACCATCTCGGGTCTACTTCCTCCCTGTGCTTCCTGCTCCCACGCCTCCTCTCCTGACCCCCTGAGCCTCGTCCTTGGCCACAGGCTGCCCGTCTGACCCCGAATTGTTCACGTTCTAAGTCAGGGCGAGGTCAGCTCCGGACCTGATGGTCAACTCCTAGCCTAGGGGCTCCCACTAGTCTCTGTCCTGCCAGGAAGCCCGGTCTCCTCTTGGAAGGAGTCTGAGCTCCGCCCCACATTTTCTCCCACTCTACCCAGGACCTTCCCACGTGACGTCAGAGCAGCAGGTAGTGGGCGATGTTCGTGTGGCTCCTGTTCCCACCACCTTTCTTCCCCAATGTAGGGAGACCAGCAGCGGCAGCGCAGGCGGCTGCCGACCCAGGAGGATGTCAGACACTGTCTCGGTGGACTGTGTCAAGCCAGCTGACCTGGGGGCCCCTGAGACTAGGCAGACTCGCCTACTCATCAACCTTCTCCCCTCGGAGCATCACCCCAAGCCCCACCCCACCCCAGAACAGCCGCAACTCCAACATGCCCTCCCACCTGGCCATGCTTGCAAGAAAAAAGCAGGCAGAAAATTCCACACAGTGCCAGAGGCAGGCAGCAAGTCACCTGGCTGCCCCCGATACTGGGCCCAGCCCCGCTCCTTCCGTGGGAGCCCCGATACAGCACCCTGCCCCACTCCTTCCGTGGGAGTCCCCATGCAGAGGTGGGGCAGGCTGCCCCTCCAGCCAGATCGCAGATGGGCCAAGGGCCGGACAAAGATCATACTCGCTGAGCAATTGCTCTTCACATGCCGCCATCTGCCAGGGTGCATGCAAGGACAAGAGCCTGCTGCCAGAGGTGCCCACGTGCCTGGCACCAGGATGGCACAGCCACACTACCCATCAACAGGCGACTCCATGCGCACCCTGGCCCTGACTCCCAACCCCTGACCCCGCCAGTCCTCCCTCCTGGCCCTCCTTCTCTACATCATGCAGGTGTCTCCCTCTGCTGGTGCCGCCGCCCTCCCCAGCCCCGCCCCTGGACCTCCAGTATTTCCCTGGCCTGTCTGACGCACAGAGCTGTCCCACCCAGGGGCTCCCAGCCCTCCCCACTCAGAGTCCCCCTCCCCCTTGCTGCCCTTCAGCTGGACAACCCCATCAGCATCACCCACACCGCCCTGGTCCCCCGGGGCTCTCTTTGCCTGGCGTTCAGAGCACCCTGTCACTCCTGGGGACGGGTGGCCAGGCCTGCTCTCCTGCAGGGGCCGTGGGTCCCAGCTGCTCACTTCCAGGTCCAGGCCGAGTGCTGAACCACTGCACCACCAGGGCTCACATCACAGAAACCCCAGCGACCCCACAGGCAGGGCAGGGGTGCCCAAGGGAAGCAGGCAGCCTGGCCTAGCCCACCGACCACCCTTCCGGTCAGGAGCCCAGCTTAACCCTCTGGGCCACCAGGGCCCCCTGCACTCCCAGGCTGAGGTCTGTCCCTGCAGCACCTGCCCACAGGCCGCGGGGCTCCCTGCGCCCACCACACCCCACTCAGGGAGAGGGGCTCGGTCTGAGGGAGCGCAGGCCTGCGGGCCCTGCGTCCAGCAAGCCTGGCCTTTCCCAGCAGCCCGTGCCCACCCTGTGTCTGTGCCCCCACACTGCACGCTACCATGCGCAACTAGCGGCAGGGCAGGCACAGGGGCTGCTCGAATCCAGCCGGGGAGGAGCTGCTTGGTGGCAACATTGCCTCACGGTGCTCTGAGGGCCACCTGCCCACCCTTCCCATTGGCTCCTCTTCAGAGCTGGTACCAGGCTGCCCACCACCACACCCACTGGGACTCCAAAGGGGACCGGTGGGGTCCCCCTGTCACTCCCACCCACACTGGGCAGACTGGGTCCCCGGGGCACGTGGGCTGTGCAGACGCAAATTCACAATGGGATCTGTTCATGTGACGTCATGTGACTGCACCCCTGGTGGTAGAAGCGTGACCACGCTCAGTGCCCAACCCACAGGTCAGAGGTCAAGTCTACCCAGAGTGGCCAGGGAGGAAGGCTAATGACCTGCTTTTGAAAAGCCAACAGAGATGGACCGGGGTGGGATGTCCGTCAGACAAGTCATCTGTACGGGCTCAGCAGGGCGACTCCGAGCAGCGGGCACCACCCTCCCCTTTGGCCTCAGGATCCAGCACTGGGGGCAGTGAGGTGGGCGTGGACAGGGCATCTCCCCAGGCCCAGGCCCTGGAACTAGAGCAAGCTCCCCTCCTGGTTGGCACAAGTGGTTCGGGGTCTGGGCATATGACAGCCGATACAGGGCCCCTCTAGGTACATCTCTCTCCTCGCTCCCAGGGGGCTCCGACATACAGCCCCCAGAAAACATTCCAGAATGCTATGTGTGACCCTCCTGGATGAGACTTTGGACATGGACTTCCTGTGTGCCAAGTCAAAGAGCGATAAAGGCCCTTCTTCGCCTCGGGTGCCTCCCATGGGGACCCTCCGCATAGAGCAGACACACCCATGTGGTTCCCAATACTGTGGTCTCCACGGGAATGGGGCAGCCAGCCTCATCTTCCCTGCTCAGAGCAGCTGGAGGACGGGACCCTCCAACCTTCCAGTGCTTTATTCTTAGGGAGACACTGAGCCCGACTCCCCACGACTCCTCTCCACACTGTGGTGATGTTTTCCTGGGCCGACGAGGATCTGTCGTTAAGGAGCCAACCCTGGTCGTGCAGGGGGTGAGGCTCGCGTGAGCCCCCTGTTGCTGGGAGTATTGGCTGTACTCCCCCCGCAGGGCCCCTGCGTTGGAACTGCCTGGCGGGCCGTGGTCTGGGCTTGGGGAGGAGAGCAGGCCTCACAGAGCTGGGCCGAGGCTGAATTTTTCAGCTGGTCCCTGGTGTGCACACAGCTCTAGGGAGGGAGGGAGGGAGGGAGGCCGCTGTGGAAAACTAGGGGCAGGAAGAGGGGCCAGAGGTGCCCTCATCACCACCACAGCCACGTGCACAGGAGCCACTTGCCCGCAGGAGCAAGGACTGCACCAGCTGCTCCCTCAGGCCCTGGTTGGGCCAGGGGTGGGGGCCCCTCCTGGGGGCTTGCCTGGTGTCTGCTGGTTCAACCTTGGACCACACTGCCCCAATCGTGTGGCCCAAACCTGGACCCAGTGGTGAAGACCCCCCTGCTAGGCAGTTCCTCTTTCCCGTCAGGTGGGAGCGCCCAGGAGACAGCTGGAACTATGTGGCCAGAGGACCTAGAAGGCTGAGGAGACAGAATGACCAGATGCAGCGGGGACCCTGGGAGTTGGAGACGTGGGCACTGCAGTCAGGGCAGTCACCACTCCCTGCAGAGACGTCTGATTGGGTAAGATGGTGG